TTATTATAAGAAACACACAAAACAACAGGCCTTTCCGTCTCTCTGGAGGGAATGACAGGTTTTCCCTCTGCCTCTCACCTTACCCAGCAAGGAGGAGGGCGAGGGTCAGCAGGGGAAAATCACCAGGGGCCTGGCCCTGCCTCTTCTTAGGAATGTGCTTTTAGAATCCTCCTCACCCTCTTGGAGGCTCACATATAAGATGAGGAGAATGATCCCTGCCTTGCAAGGCTGTGAGGCTTAGGCACAAAATTCGTGAGGAGAGGGAACATATCCGCTTTGCTTACCACCGCCTCCTCCGTGCCCGGCCGCTGGTTCAGAGTCGATGATCAATACATGCCTCTTGGATGAGTAGGTTGATGGAGAGAACGTTGGGCCTCTGTCACAGGCACTGGCACCAATGTGTGCCCAATAAATGCCAGGCTGACTGTGTCTGTGGCGCAGACGGGCCGAGGAGAGAGGCACCAGCCGGCGTCAGATGCTCTGGAGAGCAGGCCACAAACTACAGCCACCTCTGTCCTTGTGGAATTTGTGATCCAGGAGGACATTAACACAATGTCACAACTCATCAAATCATTGCCAGCGTGAAAACCACAGCAAAGCCAGGTGCCACACACTCCCACTTAAGCACACAGGCCGCTGAGACCATCTCTCCCGGGGTCTAGCCTGCGGGACTGTGGTTTGCCAAGGATCTGGGCTCCGCAGAAGTTTTAGAGAGGTTTTCATTGCTTTTTAATCTTAAAACAATGAACTTTAATAAAAGAAAACATTTCCATTGGGCTTGTAAAGACTTAATAGGAGTTAAAAGTAATTAGCTAGCCTGTTTGGTTCTAATTCGATAAGTGCTTTCTTTTATTAACTTCACTGTCCTTGAAGATTGGGATTGAGGTTTGTCTGCAATTGGAAAAGGGCGAGTTTGCCCAACGATGGATGGGTGACTGGACTAAGGCAGCCGCTTGCGCTGGCAATGCCAACAAGAGCCGGGGCTCCGTGAGGCTGTGTGCGAACCCGGGCACGTTTCCCTCTCCACCTGCCGAGCCTCAATTTCTCCTGAGAAGTGGGGATGGCATTGCCGTGCAAGGCTGTGTATGGAAAGCACTGGTGTACTGTGTGGCACAAGGAAGGGCCAGTTCATGACGACCCCCTCTTCCTCTCCCCTTTACCCCGGAGACTGCCCCTCCCAGTCATATTCTCTGTGTCCCACTGAGGTCAGGTGACAGTGCTGGTGCTGGTGGGCATCCTTGCCCGGACCTGAGTCAGACTGGGAGCTCCTGGAGGGCCAGGGCTGGGCTCCCTCCCCTGAGTGCCATCAGACCACTCCCCTCCCTGTCCTGCTCACTGGCACTACCAGAACGACATTTCCCAGGCTCACGGGCAGCAGGCTTTGGCGAGTATCTACCAGTGGGAGCACTGTTGGGAGATTGGACAGTGGAAAGAAAGGAGGAGCCAGGGTGTTCACTGAGCCCTCCTTCCTCTGTGTGGGGATATTTGTTTGGCGGTGGTTGTGTCTCCTCTGATCACCATGGTCCAGCCCTGCCTGGCCGAGGCTCGGACCACACCACCTTCCTCCTGCATCCTCTGTGCCCTGTGGGTGGTCCTGGCAGCCTCCTGCTGGCTAAGCTCTGAGCGGCTTCTAAGCTTTTCCGTCTGTGTGAGCACTTCCCTGCTGTGAATTCCCTCCACGTGGACGGCCTTGCATGGCTGTTTCCCTGACAGGAGACTGTGGGTGCCTCCGTGTCCCCAGCCTCTGACCACGGAAAGAGCTCACTGCGCTCCTATGGGCTGGGTGCATTTCCTGATAGAATATTCCAGAAAAGGTGGATTTTGCCCACCTTTTCCAGGCCTTCTCCTTGGTCTCCCCTCACTTTCCAGAACCTTAGCAATCTAGAAGGATGAGGAGCAACTCAAGTGAGGGCCAGCCCAGGAAAACCTACAACCAAATCTTTAGAGCTCTTGGAGATTCTGTCTGGGTCACTGCTGATTCGTTTTCTCAAGCCCCAGCTTCTAATTGGATCCATCTACATAACAAGTGTAATCAGTGAGCCAAAATTAAATACCCCACCTCTGCCCTTCTCGTCGGTCACAGATCACGAGTATAAAGAGCCGGTTCAAGTGGAAGGGTCGGCTCCGGGAGGCCAGCTCTGTCGTCAGTGCTGGCAGGCTCAGCCCAGAGGCAGGACCTCACTCCCGGCTGGGGACGGCAAATGAGTCACTCTCAATAGGTCCTGCCTGCAGCCAAATTAGTCTTGAAGGAGACTCACGGGGAATGCTGATTTAAGAAAAACACAGCCTGATTACAGATGCCTGGGCGGGCATGGCATTGGTGGTCTCCTGAACGTGCCAGGGCTCTGGGACCTTCTAGGGCAGTGGTCGGCAAACTCATTCGTCAACAGAGCCACATATTAACAGTACGACGATTGAAATTTCTTTTGAGAGCCCAATTTTTTAAACTTAAACTATATAGGTAGGTACATTGTTATTAACTTAATTAGGGTACTCCTAAGGCTTAGGAAGAGCCACACTCAAGGGGCCAAAGAGCCACAGTTTGCCGACCACGGTTCTAGGATAGGTCTGGAGGGCCACCCTGTTCCTGCCCAGGCCCCCTCCTTTGCGGAAGGTCTCAGAGTGTGGAGACAGAGCCAGCTGTGGGGTCAGGGTGAATGTTGGACCTGGTCTGAGCCTCAGCTTCCTCATCTGTAAAATGGGCTCCTCTGTCATAGTCCTAGAAAGAGCTCCAGGACAGAAACAGTGCCCCACAAAGAGCCTAACCTGGGCCACCCTGCAAGGACCCAGGCCGAGCCTCTAGAGCGCCTGAAAGCCTAGTTGCTCTGCGCTGACCTGCTAGTCATTTAAAGGAACCTGCCTGTGCTTTGGGGGAGAGGGGTTCAAACTAGAGAAAGCCCCTGGGCGAGTCTCGGCTGCTGTTGCTCTGGCTGCGGACTGTGCAGCCTGGTTCGCCTGGACAGTGCCTTTCTCTGCATTTACTCACAGTGAGTGTGGGTTCTTCCCGTCTCTCCTCTTCCCTCCCCTCCTTTCCCGCCCCTCCCATGTTTCCCCCTGCTCCGCCCTTTCCTTCTCCTACTCTTCCTTTCTTTCTCCCTCTCCCCGCCTTTCTCCTCCTCTTTTCCCTCTCCTCCTCCCCTCACCCCTGATGACATCATCGCTTCCTGGCCTCAAAAATGTCTGTGGAGGCCTGGCTGCTCCTTCTTCCCCAGCCCAGCCAGGGGAGGGAACCCGAAGGGGGTGACATTTAGCCATTGGAGGGTGACGTGGGTGATGGGGAGAGGACATGTGGCCTTTGCAATTGTTGCTCTGTTGCCTGGTGTGCTAGGCCTAACCCAGATCCCTCCGCACCCCCTTCCCCTTCCCACTGCTAAGCCATGTGGAGTATCATTCTCCTCCCTCTCCCCCAAGCTCACACCCATCGTTATCGACCCGCCTCCCGTGTGAACTTCATGCAACATGGCCTAGAGCGGGGCTCCTTCAAGTGCCCTTGACCGGGAATGGAACCCGAGACCCTTTGGTGAGAGGGCGGGTGCTCTGACCATTGAGCAGCTCTGGCCAGGGCCTCAGTGGGTTTTAAAGGTTGACCATTTTCACTCTGTCCCCACCAGCCTTGTCAGTGTCTGGGAGGAGCACTCCTGTCATGGTTTGGTTTTGAAATTGGCTGAGGGAATAGAAATAGGAGGCAGGCGACTTGTCCTCTCTCAGCCACGGTGAGCGCAGGCTGGAAGGCAGGCCTGGCCCCACACATCGGCCCCGGCTTTGAAACAGGTACTTCGGATTGGACCGCTTCTAGGTTCAGATGCATCTTTGTTGAAAAGGAATGGTCAGCGGAATAAATACAGCCACCATCGGCCTTTCACGCTGTATGTAAACGAACCCGTTCCGTTTCTCTTCATTTGTGGAAAAATACACAGAGAAAATCCCCGTGGGAAACGGGAGTTTTAAATGACATTGTTTGTTCTCTGTAATTGAAGAGGTGCTGTGCATGCGTAAGGCATGAGCACCGTGTTCTCAAAACACCCGTGGGCGTGAAATGCTTCAGGGTGAAGGGGGCCCAGGGCTCAAGGCTGGGCTTGCTGCAGGTCTGTGCACAGCCACGGAGACACCAGTTCTTACTGTGAATGTCTAAGGAGGGGATATGCTCTCAGCACTCCTGAGGTTTATTTGACCATGAACCTTGTCACAGAATCTTGGGGGGCTAGCAGACCCTAGAGTACATTTGTAAACCCTAGGATCAAAAATCACTAGTGAATACAACCCCCTACACGTGTGGAATACTTTACAGCTGGTCCCCAATGAACTTTCAGACGATGTCATTCAATAAGGTTTTCTCCAGGGACAAAGGAGAGGGTCATTTGAGATTGTGGTGGGCAAGACCGGAGGCACCAACAGGGGGACCTGGGCACCCGGAGAAGCTCCAGGGAAGCTGGGGACAAAGGCCCCACCTCAGCAGCCCCTCCACTGGATTCCTGCTCTGCCACAGGGGATGGGCTGCACCTCCTCAGGAGTTTCCTCTCTTCCCCAGAGCCCACAGGAAGATCCCCCAACCTCCCCGGGTCCCCAGCCAGCATGAGGCCCCAGCTGGGCACTTCCCTGGCTTTCTTGGCACAGGAACATGCGTGGTTGTGGGGGAGCACAGCTTTCCGGGAGGCCCCTGTCATGGCTGCTCAGGCAAAGTACAAACTAGAAGGCATATGCATCTTAAAATAGAATCTTGGAGAAACGAATGTGCTATCTAAAGGAATGAATCTCAAACAGGCAATGTTCAAGGATTAGGAGGCGATACTATGTTGGCCAGAGAACATTTCCAGATAAAACAAACACCCTCCCCGGCCAAACAAATGAACTAACAGAAAACCAACGAACAGGCTAAACTAAAATACACAGCCACACAGAAAACCACAGGCAGGCAGTCACCTGTTCTGCTTGGGGGTAAAACTGACAGTTCTACAAATACAGGGAGAGAAAGATAAAGGATTTCAAAGTATGGGAGTGAGTTTTGTTTTTTCATTTAATGCCAGGTTTCAACGAAGGGAGAATATGTTTGTCACTGGTACACATTCGTTCCGTGTAAAACCCATCCAGATGTCTTAACAGGCTCTGTCAGGAGTGGGAGGGTCCCCACGGCTTCGTCTCAAAGCTGGTGAAGAACCCTTCACTGGGAGTGTGGAGCAGGCCCCTCACGGCCATCACTTCTTTTTGAACACTTGATGGCACACCTGGTCACCGCATGTCAGATCCTGCAACATCAGAAAGTGGGTGAGTGATGAACAAGCTGGGTCTTCCTTCTGCCCGGCCCCTGGCCTTCTTGTTGTCTGTGATTTGGGTGGGAGGTGGGCGGGGTGGGGGCGGGGGGAGTGACTGTAACGAAGAGGACACATATTCTGGGCAAAGTGCATCTCATGGATCCAATCAGCTGACATGCCCTGATTTGATTTTGACCCTTGAATTGAGCTTGAGCAACTATAAGAACAAAAAATTTGAAGAAATTACCCTCTTGGGCGGGATTTCTCCTACTTTCATGATTAAAGCAACATCACCTAATTTATAAAAGGCAGCAAAGCCATGAAGAAGAGAAGGCTCTAGTGGGGAGAAGCATTCGGAAGGCAAGGGCCTAGGAAGATGCCTGCTGGTGACCCGTGTGGCTCAGCCCTGTGGGCTTTCTGTCCTTGGGAGATCAGAATGTTGGTTGGTCGTGGCCCAGGCAATGAAAGGGTGTGGGCTGCAGATAAGATGCTGTTTTCCATCCAGATAGAGCAGCGGTTCTCAACCTGTGGGTCGCGATCCCTTTGGCGGTCGAATGACCCTTTCACAGGGGTCACCTAAGACCATCCTGCATATCAGATATTCACATTACGATTCATAACAGTAGCAACATTACAGTTATGAAGTAGCAACGAAAATAATGTTATGGTTGGGTCACAACATGAAGAACTGTATTTAAAGGGCCAGAAGGTTGAGAACCACTGAGATGGAGGGAGCCCTCAAGCCTTATCTGTAACTCATGACCCTTTAAGGGAGGAGAGAAAAACACGGGTGTGGGGAGCGCCAGGAAATCATCGCAGTTGACGATGAATCCGTTGTCTTCACCGCAGCGACCGTTGGGTATTGCACTACAATTAAAACGATCCATCATCCAACCCGGAGCAGGTAGGGAAAACCTTCCATGGAAAACAGCGCATGCCTCCCATTGGTCATCCATCAGCTGACATTGCCTCTGGAATAAAGATCCCAGGTGAGGCAAGGCTGGCTCTGAAGGGCACGTGGTGACCTGAATACTGACACTGGGGCCAGGCACCTGCCTGACTCCACAGATGAATGAATGAATGAAGTGCCATTAGTTGAATGAGCCATTTATTTAACAAATGAGTGACTGAATGCATGAAGGAGTGAAGAATTTTTCACTGTTTGAATGTTTGACCCATACGTTGCCTTGAAGATTGAAGAATAAAAAAGTAAGCTACCTACACAGATATAATTCAAGGATATCAGCAATGGTACCCACTGCACTGCTTTAGTTTGGCATCCGGTGGACACAGCTTATGATGGGAGGTCCATGCCTGAGGCCTACAAGCAGTTCACGGGCTCAGCTGCCCTCTGTCCGTTCCACCTGCACCCCAACCTCTCTTTTTCAAGCTCACATAGCTGCGAGGAGGCCTGGGCCCACCCTCTCTGGGGACAGCTTAATTCTGAGCCTCACATTTCTCTCCGGCTGCTCTTTACAGGTTCCCTGCATTTCTCCATGGATCTCAGCTCCCTAGCTCAGCATTTTGAACTTTCATTTTAACGGCAGCCATCACAGAAACGGCCGTATAGATTTCTTCCTGGAGACCCCTGAGCCAGACAGGAATGGCTTTCTGACTCTATGACCACACACATTTGGCTGGAGCTCAGCGGGGGAGTGCAGGGCCATTTTTCTTGTCAAGGTGCCTGGCTGGATGAACAGGCAGCTCGTGTGAGCACAGAGGCAGGGAGCTGGGCAGACCCAGGACTTACCAGGTAGAGCTTGTCCCCTTCAACCCACTGCCTCCAGCCACGGTTCTCCTTCTCCCCCTTCTGCACGCACACGAGGACATTGCCTTCCCAGGTGATCAGCGACTGCAATGACAAGTTCCAGCAAATCAACTGCGTGGCCTTGACTGGGACCAGACGAACGTCAACCTGCGGCTGCAGTCCCGACGCTGTGCCCAGGCTCCCGCCTGGCCACCGGGCAGAGCCCTCAGCCTCGGCCGAGACCTTCCAGGCTCATTTCCACACACACCTGCCATTCTAGCCAAACCGGCTGGCTGTGGCTGGTTCGGTCCTCTTTTAAGGAATTCTACTCTTCCATTTTATCCTATGGGACAGATAGCATTCCAAGTCAGAAGGGGGAGATAATAAATGTGACTGTCTCACGATGTAACATTTCTGGGAGGGAAAACACCTCGGAGTCTGCAGATGAATAACAAACTGGGAAAAATAACTGTAACACATGTCAGACAAAAGACCCGCGTCCCTTCTATATAAGGCGCTCCCATAAACCAGTAAGAAAAAGATCATTAACCTAATAGGAAATTCAACTGAAGACGCCAACCCACAGCTTACATTTGGGGTGGGGAACGTCATTTGGGCTGGCCCTGCCACGGCATTAGGAGTGAGTTAATTAAATGCTTGACCAAATAGAGCAGCTAGTTTTTAAGGTGATAACTTTGTATGGCCCTCGGATGATGTTATAAATATCCAGATGGCTCTCGGCCAGAAAAATGGTTCCCTCCCCCGACACAAGGAAAGAAAAACACAACCCTAGCAGATGGCTTTTAAACCTAAGAAAAGACAATCAACTTCACTCATGATAAGAGAAATGGAAATGAAGGCCTTTTTGATACAATTAATCTCACAGTCAAAGATAAAAGAGTGATAGCACACTGCAGAGGGCCGGCACCCTCTGTGTATGATTGGTTCACCCACCCCCTGTCGCCCCTTCAGGCTGAAGGGTACCAGTCAAGTCACAGGAAGGAGGTAGTGCGGAGGGCACCTGCTCTGTGCTGATTCTCTTGGGAACAGCCCTTTGCGGGAGACCGGGCACAGTCTGTCCTGGTACTTCTCATTCCCCACTGGAGAGGGAGAGCCAGAGAGAAAGAGAGAGAGAGAGAGAGAGAGAGAGAGAGAGAGAGAGAGAGAGAGAGAGACAGACCCAACTGTTTGCTGTGGGCAAGCAGAGACAAAAAGTAGAAAAGGGGATTCATTCATATTCTCTCTCTCTCTCTCTCTCTCTCTCTCTCTCTCTCTCTCTCTCTCTCTCTCCCCCCCCCCCACCCCCCTTCCTTCTCTTTCTCCCTCTCCCTGCAGGGGTAAGAACTGATCCTGGGGAGAGTGGGGTCTGAGGGAAGTGGAGAGGCAGAAGGAAAGTGGGTGTTAACGCAGGGAATCATTTGAGGCAGAAAGGGCTGAAAGGACGCCGTTCATTTCAGGAAGAGGGCGTTCTCCGCCATCCATGGTGATGCAAGAACTAGTCAGAGAGAACAGGTCTCTTTCTCAACCAAAACGCAAAGACTGGGGGAAATGAATCATTTTCAACTGAAATTCTGCGCCAATTTTCCTGTGAATTCTGGTGTCTGATGCATGGGCCCCCCAGCCACGCAGTTCAGAAAAGCCCTGTGGATCCCTCAGCCTCGCGGGTGGGGCTTCGCAGGGGCCGTCCCAGGCTCGGACGCTGAGGCTCTCATGCCAGGCCCGCTCTGACGGAAGCATCTCCAAAGTGCTTTTCATGTCCGACTTCCTTAGCGAGGGTACTGAATATAATTCAGCCTCGACGTGATGGCTGAGAGGACAGTGCCGCAGGACGGCGTGAGAAATAAAACGGGCCCCGCTCTCGTGGCTTGGATGTCAGTAGCAAAGAAGGATGACAACCTTTCCTTCCAATCCCAGGGAGGTGACAGAGCTCATGGCCCATGACTTGGGGAAGCGCTGAGTCTTCCAACTTTTGAAAGAACTTCTGGAAGCAGGAGAGAAGGGGGACTCCGGGGAGAGTGGGGTGCATGGCGAATGAGGAAGGGCAGGGTGGAGGGTCCTGGCACTGTGAGGGGCTGGCCTCTGCTGGGGGTGATAACATGGGTACCTGGTGATAGGATACCCAGCTCACCTCCCCAGCTTGGGAGCCAGGGCAGAGTTCCGGTGGCTGCATTGGCAGAAATGGGGTGGGTGCTATGAATATTCAAGCTGCCCACCCTCATGCAAACTACATGGGCACGGACAGTGAGCAGCCAATGGCGGTCGTACCAAATGACCAACCAGAAACCCTTTCCTGGACTGTGTGACCCCTGGGGTCCTTATATGATGCTAAGGTTGGGGTGGGAGAATCCTTCAATTCCACTGAGATTAACTTTCTCCCCATTCCTACATGTGGGGACTGACCAGGTGTAACTGGATTTGGAAAACCAAAGGCAGGCGCATGGAGTGTGAGTGTGAACACCGAGACAATTGCTCACCAGGCCGTGATTCCACACTGGTGACTCTGGAGGAGAGGGGACCTGCTGTTACCCCTGCCTTCCCCACCTCCACCCACTGCCCCCTGCTGCTTCCACACTCTGCCTTATTTACAAACCGCTCCTCTGGGTGAGGGCCGGCCTCCTCTGCACTCCAGCTCCTGTGCTTGGAGATAACACGTGAACTCAGGGCTGCTCGCTTTCAGAATCCTCCCTATATGCACGCCACTCAAGCACCTGGCAGTCTGGCCTTCGGAAGCCTGGGGATTTGCTCCATTAGGTCCTGGGAGTCAGGGTGACGCTGACCCAGAGCTAGAGACTTGCCCGAGACTTCTGGAAGTTCCTGGGACGGGGGAACCCTGACTTCACTCAGTACACTGAGTGTTTTGTTTTCTATGCACTTCATTCTTCTTTAAAAAATAAACCAGTGGGGCTCACCTAAAATGGAGATATTTCATACGAAAACCTATGAATTCTCAATATCTCTTGGGGAAAAAAATCTGTGAACATGAGGTATCAGTCCCTCGTGGCAATGTGTGGCTGGTGCTGAGCAGGCTGCCCCCCCCCCCCCCCCGAGGAAGCTACCCTGCTCAGCTCACAGGGCGGAGTCCTCCCGACAACACCCCACCGGGCCCTCTTCTCCTTGCCCGCCAGCCCATGCCAGACCCTGAGGGGCCACACCCTCCAATCGCTCCTTTGCTCATAAGCTTAGTGCAGAAGCTAGCTTGCCCCTTCCTCCCTAAGATAATGTTGCTTAGTGCCGGCATCATTAAGTCCATTCTGGTCCCCCTTCCAGGTTGTTGCTGTCATTTTCCCTTTGTGAAGCCAAACAGCCAGCCCCCCCAGAGTGTGCACATGACAACCGCCCGCCCAGCTGAGTACCTTCACAGTGCGGTTGTCCAGGCCCTTGGTGTGCTCGTCAAACTCCACTCCAACGGTGAAATCCAGGTCATAGTTGCGGAACGTGCTGTTGGTTTTCGTCTTGAAGTTATCGCCGTCCTGCTGAATGATCTTGGTCTGAGTCAGGCGGACCGCGATCTTGCGGGTGGCGAAATCAATATCTGTTGGCAAAGGGAGTGGTGGAGGTTCTGATGTGCTCAGTCAGACTCATTCATTTCTTTAACAAGGCCAAGCAATCAGGACCGGAGACACAGGGCAGGGCAGGCCCCATTTCTCTGCCTAAGCAGGAAACAAGAGTTGTCTCACACCCGGCCAGTTTGGGCAGCTCAGTCAATTGTTGGGGAGCCCTGGTGGCAGGGGGAGGTCGCAGGCAGGGTCATGCCTGAGCTGCAACTCTCCAATATGCATTCATGTACACACACACACACACACACACACACACACACATCCCTCCACCACAGCAGCTCCATTCTACTTATTTGACATATTGGGTTTCTTTTGAAGAGTTTGCAGAACATACAACTTCATGTTTTAAAAGAAAAAAGACTGTTTAAAACTCACCAGCCTAGATCATAGGCAAAGATGGGATTTGTTATTGTCTACAAGCAGGGAAAGGTACATATAAACTTCCATTTTTAAAGCAGATTAGGAGCTTACTTATGTAGGCTGTTCTCCCTCCCTTACCAGCTTTAAGTGTGCTCCAGATACTGTAGACCAGCGGTTACCAACCTGTCGGGCCTCACGGACCACTAGTGGTCCTAGCACCACCGGTTAGCAACCGCTGCTATAGACACTCAGTAAAGACTTGCTTTTAGATTTGCTTCATTGTTTTTAAGGAAAAGATGGCCATTTGTTTATATTTTTATTATAACAAATTTCAAACAAGCAAAAGTAAAGAGGAGAGTACAAGGAACCCTACACTCATCACCCGGATTCAACAATTACCAATATTTTGCTGCATTTATTCATCTACAGCTTTTCTTTGTCCTGATATTTTAACGGAAATCTTACTCATCTCTTAGAGACCATTAGGAAGTAAAAGGGGGCATGCCCTTCAATGGAGTGTTGCATTTCCCAAGCTCTGTACTTTACAGTAAAAAGCTAAGTGCTGCGTGCACCTCCTTGCTAACCTCTGGTTATACATAATCCATCCTTCAAGCCAAAAGGGCGCTATCTTTGTGGAATCAACCTAGAAACGGAGGATAAGTCTGGGGTTGCTAAATGTGTTCCTTTGCTGTGAACATCATTAAGCTCTTAGTCTCTCACCAAATCATATTTGACCCCCTTTATGCCTGTAAATTCTCCAGTAAAATGGGGGAAAGATGGCTTACCTCACAGTTATTTAAGGTAAAAATTCACTTAAAATAGTGATAAAATGCTTTACGCAGTGCCAAGGAGCTATGGTTATTTGACGCACATTGGCCTCCAAGCCTTGGCCTTTTCTGTTTCAGTCAAACCCAGTCTGGAGTGAAATGTTTGGGCCACACTTGCACATCCACCACCCGACGCTATCCAAGGGCCCGGACTCTGAAGAACAGTCGGATGGCAGCTGATCTGCTCACTTGCATGGCCCTGGCCCGTCACATGGACATTGTGTCAGCTTCCTCACTCCATGTTTTGACCAGGGGGTAAAGAGCTTTAGCTTTGGCCCTCGGTGCTGAGACCCATGCTGGGCCACACCCTACTGCTGGCACCACAGGTGGAGGTGGAAAGAAAAAACCAACCAACAACCAACCAACCAACCAACCAACCCACAGGTCACATATTAACCAGATGAAACAAAGAAGACGGCTCCTCCAGGCAAAACTACTCAGAAAGAACTGGGAATTACAGAGGAACTCAGAACCGAGGTGTTTGTCAGAGAACAAGCCTATTTTCACTGCCCAGATGTGGATAGCAAGGCCCAGAGACGTTAAGTGGCGGGTTCCAAGCTACTCAGCTGGGCTGGAGCTCCCGACAGTTTGCCTACAAATACATTCCGTGTATCAGGCACAACTAAGGCTTTCCCAGCAGAAAATATTGCTTGTCCTTGGCTGCTTAGAAAGGTGGATCGCAGTTTAAAATGCCTATTGCTGGGGGGACTGGCTTGTCCTGGAAATAGCATCCCTACTCAATCTTTCTGACCGGGGCCAGCGGAATCTTGTTAGAGGCTCTATGCAAATGTGATCAAGCACCACTTCTTCTCTGGATTGAAAAATGGCCTGGCCTCTTGGCTACCCTTTAGCGTTTACACAGGCCAGTTAATCACGCCACCTATGCTCCACTCTGGGGAAGGGAGCCGTGATATTTCTAATCAAAAGGAAGGTTTACCTGCAGCTGTAGAACACACACGCGCACCCACACACAGGTTACAGAAACGCTTCCCCTTTGTACTCTGCAGAGAAAATTATTTTCCTGCTATGGTATTCTAACACCAGGGTTATCAAGTATGTTTTATCTGCTTCTCTGGATGAAAGGTAGCTCCGCGCCTGATTTACAGCTGGGTGAAATGAATTTCTACCTCAGGGGAGAAGGTCCAAAGGCAAGCTAGTCCTGAATAATATATATATGGCTTGTGGCTGCCGCAGAAGAAAAAAAACAACACTGAAGTGACTTTATTAAAAGCATACTTTTCATAACTGCATTTTGAACAATGCAAGCCATAAAGGTGAAATATGAGTATGCTACTCAACATTAAAATGCTTTGTAATGTTATTGTGAAAAAAGCTAGAGTTGCAGGCTGAAAGGGCAGGTGCTCTTTGTAAATTAAAGAGCAGAGATTGCACACATATTCATCACATGAAATCTGAGACCCATTCCCAGTGCACCTGTGATGGGCTTCAAACCTGGACCCCTTCATTCTCCCATCATCAGCACTTCGAGGCAATTGTGAGCAGCAGTGTGGAGGAGCAATCCTCTCCATTCTTCCATGCCATTTCCTCCTCCGTATGACACATTTAGAGAGGACTTGGCTTGGCCCCCTACCTGCCTCTTCTCACTCTTCAAGGGCATTTTTAAATAGGTTTCAAACTTTCTCTGGCCAGCAAGGCAGGCCAGAGACCTTGGGGTGCCTCCCTGCTCCCCTTGCTCTATTTTACCTCCTCACCTGTAGGCTACTACTTCCCACTGGGAAGGGGCCAGGATGGAGGTGCTGCTGGTATAAGCAAGGAAGGGCCCAAACTTGCCTTCACCTGGGTCTCTTCCACCCCCAGCACTTTCCCTGTTTGAAAGTGCAACCAGGTACCATGTGGTTTATACAAAGACTTTGGCAATGACCTCATTGACTTGTGAGCACCAGCAGGAATCCAAATGTTGTGACACCAACTCTTCCTTGGGTCATTATACAGTCTCTCTTCTTTTTTTCTTCCTTCCTTCCTTCCTTCCTTCCTTCCTTCCTTCCTTCCTTCCTTCCTTCCTTCCTTCCTTCCTTCCTTCCTCTTCCTTCCTCCTCCCTCCCTCCCTTCCTTCCCCCCTCCCTTTTCCCCTCCTTCCCTATCTTCCTCCCTTTTCTCCAGCCCATGGCACTGCCCTAGCCCAAGCCACCATCACGTTTTGCCTGAACAACGTAACAGCCTGCTAATGGGAATCTCTACTTCACTCACTCACTCACTCACTCACACACTCATTCGTTTTTATGAGGGACTCTGAGGGGCTCCGGTGCAGTTACTAAGGGTCCTGCCTGTCTACTTAGGTGTCCCCATCCTGACAAACTTGATGGGAATGAAGCCGCCTCCCCTAACCCTGGGCCTAGTACCTCCTCCCGGAACAGTGCTGCGGAGAGAGCTTGGGTGTTAGAATCAGACAGGGCTCCTGTCTGCACTGCAGCACTTCCCAGCCACAGGTGACCCCAGGCAAGCCCCTTCCCCGCTTCCCTGGGCTTCAGATTCTTCCCCTCACGAGATGGAAAGCATTCCTTCCATCCTCGCCCCTGACTCCACCCTGTGCTCTGGATCATGTATCAACGTGCCAGTTTTAATACTTCACTTGGATGCATAATGAGCATCTGAAACCAAATATGGAAAGCAGAATGCTGCACGCATGTCCCCTGCCCAGCACCCCGTCTGAACGCACTCCTCCCCAGGCCTTCCCCATTTCAGCCAATGGGATCGCCACCTTCCCAGTTATTCAGGCCTAAGCCTGGGGGCCATCTTCACTTCCTCTTGCTTCGTATTTATCTGCAAGCCCTGTCACTTTACCTCCAAAGTATACACGGGATCTGTCCTCTCTTCTCCAGCCCATGGCACTGCCCTGGCCCAAGCCACCATCATGTTTTGCCTGAACAACACATCAGCCTGCTAATGGGCATCTCTGCTTCCAGTCTTGCCCTCCTGTGACTCATTCTTCATACTGCAGCCATAGTGATCCTTCAAGAATAAGATAGGTTAAGTCCTCCCACTATAAGGCCTGACCTGCCTCTGTGGACTGATCTTCCCTTGTTCACCACACTCCCAACACACCAGCCGTCATATGGTTCTCAAACATGCCCAGAGCCTTTGCACGTGCTGTTCCCTGTGCCTGGAATAATACTTCTCAGCTTTTAAGCTTCGGCTCAGACAGCCTTCCCTGACCACCCATCATTCTCCACCCCATCATTCCTTCTTATCTTTTTTAAGCACTTACCACTACCTAAAATCATCTTCATCCTGAGATTTTCAGCCTTTTTCATCCCATGGCACACATGAATTAATTACTAAAATTCTGCAGCACACCAAAAACTTATTATATTTTTTGTTGATCTGACAAAAATATAGGTATAATTTTTATTTATTTACAAAAAATAATAAAAATAGAAATTACCTCCCTTTTTTGCTGCAAAGTGACTTTAAAAAAAAATCAGGTGCCTATACTTGTACATAAAGATTTCTGTTCAAAAAAAAAACAACACAACCCAATCAGACACAACCTGATCCAGCCGGGAGGAGGACCTCAGGACACGACACTTTTCTCAGGGTAAGTAGTTTACCAGCTGCCTTCCTTTGCTGTCAAAAAAGAATTTGGGGCTTCAAGAAAGACCAGGTGTCTCGGAAAGCAGGAGAGGAGGTGCCCTTGACCCTTGGCACTCCTTCTTTGATCAGTTAATGACTTCGATAATTTGGGGCAAACCCAAAGGTTGGCATGACGTGTCACTTGCTGGGGCCAGCAGCTGGGGTGTGGGGTGAGTCACTGGGAGTCTCTCATTTCCCCCCGGAACCAGCAGTCAGGCCTGCAGAGAAAGCCAACTCCCTGACGTTGGGACTAACGCTAAGAAAGTGGCAATTCTTTGGCAGAAAGTGGAGTTATACCTCACGGTGTCTACATATTTGGGATTTGCTGAGATCTCCATGTGTGTTCTCCCCAAATGCCAAGGGCCTCGTGCCCCCAGCCGCAAGGCAGGCAAGCTCCATGGGCTTGTCAGCGTTGGAGCAACAGCCCCTGCCTTGCAGGGCAGGTGTGGAGGAAATTGCACAGATCTGCTGGGCTGCTTTCAGCAGGTGAAATTGTCGGGGTGGCCCTCCCTCAGCTGCTTCCGGCTGAGACCCTTGAGGCCTGTTTTTAGTCATCACCAAACGAGGCCCCCTGGGCAGGTGAGAGGGAGCAGGTGTCCCGTCTCCATGGTGGGAAGTGACTCCAGCTAAAGCATTTCTGCATGTGGCATCATGGCCTCAAGCTGGAGCAACTTCCTGGGGCCCTGCGACACCGTGGGCTGCCAGCAGCTGGGTAAACTGAGGCATCAAGCACATCTACCTTTGGGTACAACCACCTACAGTTTTCATTTTAATCAGGAAAGTGGCAGCCTACTCCTTCTAAACTTCAGACACTGGCACAAAAAGGTCCAACAAGCCCGGGTGGTGTGCTCAGTGGTTGAGTGTCGACCCAGGCACCAAGAGGTTGCTGGTTTGATTCCTGCTTAGGGCACATGCCCAGGTTGCAGGCTCAATTCCCAGTGGGTGGCATGCAGGAGGCAGCCGATCAATGATGTTCCTCTCTCATTGATGTTTCTATCTCTCTCTTTCTCCCTTCCTTTCTCTCTAAAAATCAATAAAACCTTTTTTTTTTTTTTTAAAAAAAAAAAAAGGTCCAACAGTTTTCTTATTAGCTTGAGAGCTATGTAGATCTATGACGCTAAACTGGAAATTCTGACTGCAGCTGTAAGAGACAATAGGCATCTGATACCAAAGATACTGGGACAGAGCTATGCAAACAACTCATTCCCAGGGTGGGAACCCCTCCCCCACGCAGAGGCTGCACACTGGTGTGGAAGAGGCCCCAGAAAGGCCGTTTCTAGAGCGAGAACTGGCAGCGTGCCTTGCATCAATCCCTTCCTCCCGGAGAGGACAGAGGGCGGGACAGAGTGGCTGGCCTCTCACCTTAAACCTAGAGAAAGGGTTTCAGGGGCCCACCCTGCAGAGCGGAAACTAGACGGAGGCTGGATTTTATACCCAAAGTCACCGCAGGACTTTTCATTCTTTAAAAATGAGCAGAAGAAGACACAAAGTTGCTTTCTGATGATATTTCCCCGAATCCGCTTGTTTGGCAGGCTGCTCAAACCTGGCAGCCCCCAAAGGCCCTTGTTAACGCACTTCCCGTCGTTCCACGGCCGACATCTTCCGGAGAAACAGGCAACGCTGGTGCTACTTCCCCTACTCGGCAGATGAGGAAACCCGTTCTGAGAAGGTCAAGGTCAGAGAGAAAGCCAAAGCTATGTTGGCCCCTCTGGTTCGCTTTCCTCCTCTGATGCTCTTGTTCAGAGCTAAGCTCCAGACCATTTATTTGCCCACAGATAGAATCAGAACTCAGTTCCTATTGCTCAATCAGGGCACTGAAAGCAGGTGCAACACGGTTAGGATTTTGCCTCCCCCTCCTCTTCCAAGTACAGGGTGTCCCTAAGAATGTATACACGCGGTCCCAGCTGCTAGCTCAATTTTGAAATGAAGTGTATTTTAATAAACACCGCCTTTACCATTATTCAAAGTGTGTGCATCCATTTTTGGGGATGCCCTGTGTATTGAGGCAAAATTCGGATCACCAGGAGGAAAAAAGCTACCCAGTGTTGGAAATATGTTCAGTGTACACGAAGAAAGTCCTATAAACTGTCGAACATGCCACAGCCCTCGTTGTTCACACACTGGAAATGTTCATTAAGCTAGAAGTGAACCGCACACACAAGACCATGACAACCGTTCTTGATGAGACTTCCCATCCCCATATCCAAGCCCTTGGGCCCCGGCCCCACCCGCGGCCACTGTTCTCCTGTTTTGTGTGGGCAAGTTCCAGCCAGGAACTCCTCACGTGGGGGAGATGCTACCGCTGGCTACGGTGAGCGGGAGGCGGTGCAGGATGAAGTCAGTATGAGCAGCCAAAGCCTCTTGCCCGGTGCCCAGACCATGGTGGCTGCCCAGCAAAGGGAGCTCCCCTTTGGGAGGCCAGTCCCCCTGCCTTCCAGTGGCTTCTGCCCACCCCACGAGAGATCCTATAAGAGAGTCCGCTCGGGACACACACTAATTGAGCCCCTGGCGTGGAGCCTATTTCAGAAGTCAGATAAGCAGTACCACCTGGTTGGACGTCTATGACCAAAGCCTTTCCTGGCCTCTGCGGGCTTGCTTTTCTCTAGCCCTGAAAAGATTTGTGAGCCACTCCTCTTCTCTTCCCACGACAAGACTGACAAAAGGGCAATGCAGGGCCATTGGTGGATAATATCGGGTCCAACCGGCTGTTTAAGAGATGGCGGTCACAGGAACGTGAGCGACTGCATGATCCTCTCAGGTCTGGCTTTGCTCTTGTATGCACATGTATGTTTGTGTGCGTGATTGTGTATGTGTATCCTCCATTCAGTGCGTTTTTTCTGTGGACCACGTACTACGCTAAGGACATTCTAGCCACAATCTCATTTACTACTATTCCCAACTTGCAGAAGAGGAATCTGAGCCTCAGGGAATGTGCATGATGTGCCTGATGTTACATAGCTCGTAGGCGAGGAGTGAGACCTGCACTTAGATGTGTGAGCTCCATAGGGGCACTGTCCGGAGGGCCAGACCACAGTCCTTCTGAAGCTGCCCTCCCTCTTCCACCCCCAGCCACCCCCTTACCCAGGGCCTTCATGTAGCCTTCAAAGTTGTCATTGCTCTCCATCTCCCAGGTTCCATTCTGGTCCTTCGACATGGTGATGGACTCTGGTTACCGTGGTGCGTGGTGCACGTCCAGGAGCAGGCTGCAGGGAGAGCGTTTTGAAATGAGTCACTTTTATAGCCTAATGGGTTGGGTTTATGGCTCTGAAGATAACAGGTGCAAAGGTGATAAGCACAGCCCAGAGGAACTTCCCTTTCCTTTTCAAAGTTCAGAAGGACTACAGGCAACCCATGGTCAAAGTCCTGGCCTGGGCCAGCATGGATGTCCTGGTGAAGGCCACACACACCTGGCCCTGGGCAGCTCATTTTTGGCTGGCTGGGCTCCCACAGAGCCCCTGGCCCCACACAGAACACTCCATTCAGCACCGGAAGAACACAAAGACCCAGTACCCACCCCCACATGCAATACAGGCCACAGCCCCTAGGCCTCAAACTTGGAGTCTGTCAGCCACGTAAGCACTGCCACTTCCGGTCTGGCTAATGAAGCCAAGAAGATGAGCACTCACACCTGTGGAGCTCCGCTGTACTCTGTGCTGACCACTGTGCTTTCTTCGTCTTGTTTTATCTTACACGAGCTCTGAGTTATGTTTAGCTAGCTCCATTTTACAGATGAGCACAGATCAAGGAGGTTAAATCACATGCCTAACAACAACTGGTAAGTGGCTGAGCTGGGATTCAGACCCAGGTCTGCCTGGCCCCCAAGCTCTTTCTTTAGCATGTGTGAAAGTCAGGTGGGAAGGGTCAGAGTTTGACTTGAGAGCCCGATTCTCACTTGCTCTCTTCCCCAAGGGCCTCTAAACAGCAGGGCCAATCAAAAAAGGTATGTTCTACGAGAATGAATCTTCTGAAAGCAAGCAGATTAGGTTTATGGCTTAGGTTTGGGAGGGAGGCCAGATGGGGCAGTGGGACAGCTTCAAGACCCCAGGAGCAAGCTGAAGTTCACCTTGACCAACATGGGGGGTGGAGGCGGGGGGAGGCGGGCATACTGACATTTGGGTAAGTACTCTTGGTTCAGGGCTGTTCTTCAAACTGACTGTCCCAGTGGGTCAGAAAATGGGTTGATTTATTGCTCTGCCACATGGTTCTGAGAGATGGGGTCTGATCAGGGGTCCCTACACTCTGAAAAAATGGAGGTGTAGGTTGAAGATGGGTAAACCAGGAGTACTCTAAAGCAAGGCCAAGTTTGATGAACACCCTGGGGCTCTAATGTATGTGTTCTTGTGCTGTGAAATCTAAGCAAATGGCTCTGTGTGTGGCTTGGGGGGTGTCAAATAACACATTTGTCTTTCAGTAAATATACTGGAATCAGGAAGACACGCAGTAAAAAGTGGCCCAGCTGCTGTTAAAAGGGGAGGAGGAGAATAAAGGACAACTTCTCCACAAATGGAAAATGAGTGATATCAGCAGAAGTGGACAGAGAGTGAAGCACTGGGTTTCATTCGTTGAGGCCCAACAGAGGCTGCTATAGACTGAGCACTCAGTCTTCTGGGTTGGAGAAGTAGGCATTCCCCTCCAGGTTCAGATTCAAGGGCCTCCACACAGTCACTCCTACCCAAGCGGAGTCCCCTATAGGCCTCCCTTGTAAGAAAGCATAAAAAACTGACCCTGTAGCAGAAGGGTTTAGGGGCAAAAATGGGGTTGTTAATTGCAATAAGCCAGGGACTTGGGTTTTAATGGGCATGGGGATTATTCACCTTGTGTAAGGCAGGAAGTTGAAACTGAGATGCTAGCAGAAAGCCAAACCACTTTAGGAACTAATTCTCAGTGAGCATGTGAAGTAGCCAAAGCTGCTCAGAGACAACAAGAATGTTTGCCTATTTAGCCCAGGATCTATGTGAATTAAATGCAGTTCTTCTCTGTTCGAACTCTGGTTTGGGGTTTGAATTTATGCCTCCTGCTAGCCAAAATCTATACTAATAAAAGCATAATATGCTAATTAGACCAGACAGAAAAACGACCTTTCAGACGTCATTCTGGATGTCCTTCCGGACAAAGCCATGGTGGCAGAGGCCGAGGAAGAGATGGTTAGGGATGATCAGGCCAGCAGGGGAGCAGTTAGGGGCATCAGGCAGGCAGAGGTGGTTAGGGGTGACCAGGCAGGTAGGCAGAGTGGTTAGGGGTGATCAGGCAGTCAGGCAGGTGAGCAGTTAGGAGCCAGCAGTCCCGGACTGCTAGAGGGACGTCCTGGATTGGAGAGGGTGCAGGCCGGGCTGAAGGACTCCCGCCCTCCCCCCTCACCCCCCCGCCACCCATGCATGAATTTCGTGCCCCAGGCCTCTCATATTAAAATAAAGTCCTGCTTGCAATACTTATAGACTGCTAGAAAGAAGTAAATGTAAAAACTGTCTGGAGGGACACACCTTTGAAGGAGGCCAATCAGAATTCCTGTAATAAAGCCATGACAAATGTGATTTCATAATCCCAAATTGTAAAACACACATGAAAATAATCCACCTAAAGCAAACATCAGCAGAAACGTACAGTCAAATTAGACTTCCAAGAGCTTCGGATAAAAACAAAACAAAACAAAACAGATACAAACTATAAAATAAGTGTGTTTAAACTGAATAAAGAAAACTAAAAGCACTTAAAAACATGAAAAAGAATAAAGTGATGTGTTTTAAAAGCTAGATTAAAAAATAACCAGAGTAGTTGTAGAAATTTAAAAATACAGTCATTAAAATTAAAAGGTAACAGATGAGTTAAACACAGCTGGAGAGAGAATTAGTAAACTGGAATGTAGTGCCAAGAAAACTACCCCCATGTATGTAACACAGAACACACTGGTGGAAATTCAGAACACCAACATAAAAATAGCATTCTAAAATCTTCCAGAGAAAACAAAATAAACCATAGAGATTACCTATAAACAATACAAAACAATCTCATTTACAGTTGCATCAAAAATCATAAAATACCTAAAAATAAATTTAACCAAAGAAGTGAAAGCCTTGTACTCTGAAAACTACAAGACATTGGAGAATTAAATTGAAGAAGATACAAATATATGAATGATACACCTTGCTCATAGATTGGAAGGATTAATATTGTTAAAATGTTTTTACTACCTAAAGCAATATACAGATTCAATGCAATCTTATTAAAACACCAATGACATTCTTTCCAGAATTAGAACAACTAATCCAAAAATTTATATGAAACCACAGAAGATCCTGAATAACCAAAGAAATCTTGGGAAAGAACAAAATGGGAGGTATCATGCTCCCTCACATAAAACTGTACTGCAAAGCTACAATAACCAAAACAGTATGGTATTGGCATAAAAACAGATATGTAGATCAATGGAATATAATAAAGAGCCCAGATATAAAACCTCACTTAATGGTCAATTAATCTACAACAAAGGAGTCTATAATATACAATTGGGTAAAGACCATCTCTTCAATAAATGGTGTTGGAAAAAGTAGACAGATACTTGCAAAAATATTTGGACTACTTTATTACATTATATACAAAAATAAGCTCAAAATGGATTAAAAACCTGAAGCCATAAAACTCCTAGAAGAAAACAGACAATATATTCTTTGACATCAACACACACACACACACACACACACACACACACAGAGGAATATTATTCAGTAATATCTTTTTTAATATGTTTCCTTGGGCAAGGGAAACAAAAGAAAAGAATAAATGAGACTATATCAAACTAAAAAGTTTTGGCACAGCAAAGGAAACCATCAACAGAATGAAAAGACATCCTACTGAATGGGAAAAGGTGTTGATAAATGACACATCTGATAAGGGGTTAATATCCAAGACATATAAGGAATTCATACAACTGAACACACACACAAAATAAACAACCCAATTTAAAAATGAGCAGCAGACCTGAATAGATATTTCTCCAAAGAAGATACATAAAGGTGGCCAACAGACCTATAAAAAGATGCTTACTATCATAATCATCAGGGAAATGCAAATTAAAACCACAGTGAAATATCACCTCACACCTTAGGAGATTAAGATCCTAGCAAGTGTTTGATTTGTCCTCAACAAAACACGGCTTTAGCGTGTTCTTTGGTCTCAGATGTGTAGAAGATGGGGGTGGGTGGGGAGTTCTGTAGGCTATAATCAATAAATCAACAAATAAGTGCTGGTGAGAATGCAGAGAAAAAGAACCCTCATACATTGTTGGTAGGATTATAAATTAGTACAAACACTATGAAAAACAGTATGAAGGTTCCTTTAAAAATTAAAAATAGAGCTGCCATAAAATCCAGCAATCCATTTCTGGGGGTTTATCTGAAGGAAACAAAAACACTAATTTGAAAAGATATATGCACCCCTATGTTCATTGCAGAATTACTAGTTATAGCCAAGATATGAAAGTAACCTAGATTTCTATCAATAGACGGATAAATAAAGAAGATGTGGTACAATGGGATATTACTCAACAATAAAAAAAAGAATAAAACGTCATTTGTGGCAATATGGATGAACCTAGAGGGTATTTTGCTAAGTTAAATAAATCAGGCAGAGAAAGACAAATACCGTATGATTTTACTTGTATTCGGAATCTAAAACAAAACAAAACAAAATAGAAACGAACCCATAGATATAGAGAACAAACTGATGGTTGCCAAAGCTGAGGGGAGTGGGGGGATAGGAGAGAAATAAAATAACTCAGACATTTTTAAAAAGAAGCAATACAATAATCACATTAATAAGACTGTTTAACAATGGGTGGAAGACAACAATGGAATGATATCTTACAATGATGAGAGGAAATAGTTTTGAATAAGGATTTGAAAACCCAGCCAACTTCATTAGAATATGAGGGTTTTAAAAACTGAAGTATTTTTAGATATAATATCCCCAAACTGGAAACCTAAACATCTATCAACAAGTTAATGGAGACACAAATTGTGGTGTATTCAGTCAAAGGAATACTATGTCCTGATACACATAACAGCAGGGATGAGTCCAATGACATATGCTGAGGGCAGGCAACTTGACACAAAAGATCACATACTGCATGGTTTATATGAAATTCTAGAAAAAAAACCCAACCTAATCTACAGTGATATAAATAGATCAGTGATTTGGAGGGTATGGGGAGAGAAGGTGGGGATAGGAAAGGTCACAAGGGAAATTTCTTGGGGAGGTAGGATGGAAATGTTCTATAGGTGAGATGGTGGTTGTAAGACTTGTCAAAGCTCAAACTCTACAATTGATACCTGTTTCTTCCCACTGTATGTAGGTTATGCTTTAATAAAAAATGAATACAATTGTTTGATTTTTAAATATATTTTTTATTAATTTCAGAGAGGGAGGGAGAGATAGATAGAAACATCAATGATGAGAGAGAAACTGGATTGGCTGCCTCCTGCACACCCCCGCCCCCTCCACCGGGGAGCAAGCCCGCAACCCAGGCATATGTTCTGACCTGGAATTGAACCGTGACCTCCTGGTTCACAGGTTGACGCTCAACCACTGAGCTATGGCCGGCTGGGCTGAATACAATTGTTTTTTAATTCACGTATTTATTCATGATTGTTTATACAAAAAAGATTTAGTTATCACTCAAACTAAAATCCCATATTATTCCCACTTGAGAAGTTAGCTGATCGACATGAAGTACACGTGTGCTAAAGAGGCTGTAATTAGCGATCGACTAGATGTTTGTAAGAAATATAAGCATCAATATTACCTTAAAAACCTAAGAGGGACCCCTCGAGCAGCGGTTCTCAAATGTTAGCAAATGTCATCTGGGGGGGCTTATGAAAACACACATTGTTGGGCACCACCCTTGAATTTCTGATTTAACGGGACTGGGGTAGGGCCCAAGAATTTACATTTCTAATAGGTTCCCAGGTGGTGCTGCTGCTGCGGGGTCAGGGCCATAATTTGAGGACTACCATTAGAAAGCAATGGAAATAGAAGAGAGACCACTGGAGAGAGAAAAATAGAATCTTAAAAAAAGTTTTGGGTTGGCCACAGCAAGTTTTGAATCCAGGTTTCACTACTTCCTAGCAATGGGAGCCCTGGACACGTACCTTCCTGGAGTGTCTGGCTCATTCTTTGAGTCTCAGGGCCACTGTAAGAATTAAAGGCGATAAACATAAAGCTCTTAGCAGAGTCCCTGGTACAGAGCATGCCAGTCCCTGGTAAAGATTTTTGGCTGCCAGTGATGTGTTTATCCCAAGGTAGTGGCTATGGGAGGGGACTGCAGATTGAGCTCCTAGCAAGTGTTTGACTTGTCCTCAATAAAACACAGCTTCAGCGGGTTCTTGGGTCTCAGATCTGTGTGTGTGGAAGACGGGGTTGGCTGGGGAGTTCTGGAGGCAAAAAGTGAGGGACGGCGTATGAAAGATGGCAACTGCCAACCCACCACCCAGCCAGTATTGTCCCCTACACCTTCCATTCAAGGATGAGCACCTATCTTAGAACTGACAGCAGGGCCCCTTACCTCTCCACTCATACTAACAGGTCACATACCTGAATGTTCTGCTTCTCAGCTGCCTGTGTGTCTCCACTTCTGAACGTATTTGCGTAAGTCTTTGCGGAGTCCCTTAGGTGACTTTTAAGGCTGGGAAGACTCATCAGCCAGAAGCCAATCTTTCTAGGTTGCAAGAACCTCTCTGGAGACCACACTGAAAAGTGAAGGTGTGGGTCCCTCAAGGGGCTTGGGTGTGAGATAAATCAGTCAGCGAAGAGCAAGCACAGCAGGGACCCCAGGCCTTTACCTGCTGTCCTCTTCCTCGTCCTCCGGGGCATCTGCCGGGCGCCTCACTGGTTCCCAGAAGCTGCAGCTCCTCAGGCCCAGGCCTGCCCAGCTCTGCCCTCTCTTCTTCTCTGAGGGGAGAAGGCCTTTATTCAGCCGCAAATGACATCAGCAGGAAGCTGACTTGGCTCCTCCGCAGCACCCACTGCTTCCCCGCCCTGTGACTTGCACATCTGGTCCCACTCTTGTGCTTGTTACAGGAAGAAGATATTCCACCAGATTTGTTTCACCTGGAGATTCAGGAGGACCGGGACCTGGAGTTCCTTCAGCCACCAGGCAGCACAGGGCCTTGCTTCAGTTTTTATATAAATTGTGCTTCTTCTTCACGTTTGCTCCCAAAAGGCAGTCCCAGAGAGCAGGCGGTCGCAGACTCTCATCCCTCCCAGGGCCACAGGGGTCGGCTTGCTCTGGCCCCGGGGAGGAGGGGGCATTTGCAGCCCCCTGTGGTAGGGAGCTGGCAGGGGTCACTCCAGACCACCTCTTCCCAAGGGCACTGTCCCTGCCTCTCCTCCAAGGACTCTAGGAGGGCCCTTGCCAGTCCCACCCGTAGAAACTGTTTCCACCAGACCTAAGGCATGTATGACATTTTCCAGATTGGGCAAAATCTGTTGTCACCGTAAGAAACATTCAAAGTTTTGTGAGTTTATTTGAGCCTAACTGTCGACAATTGCTCGGAAGCAAAAATCTCAATGGACTGAGATAATGCTCCAGAGAATGGCAGTTTTGCAGTTTATTTTATATGTTTTTATTACAATCAAAAGTGAAGACACAAGTGGGTTACATGAAATTCATTGGTGATAGAGTAGGGAGGTGGGAGAAAGCAAAGCGGGAATTGGGATTGCATAAAAAGTACAATGACAGACATATGCTTCTTTTACTTAGGTGGGTGCAGGGTAGTTACTACTGTAGTTAACAGTTAACTCAATGACAATGAGGGGGTCTGTGGTCTCCGCAGAGCGGTGCTGTGCTTTGAGGGGTCCAGAAAAAGGGAAATTACTTTGACATTCCAACGATATGTTATGGTAGATGCAAAAAGACAATAGACAGGCTCAGTTAAGGTAAAGATTGACCTTTGCCAGGGAAGATACGGGCCTAGGACATGACTACTCACCATAGACTATTTTATTTAAATTTTTAATTTCAGACCATCCTTTGTGGTTACTTTAGGTCTCTGAGTTTGCAAGGCTGCCCTGCAGACCTCCCCTGGGCCAGTCAGGTCAGCAAGTGGCCCCTTTTTGTCCACACTGTTTATTTATTGTCTCTCTCCCTGAGATTAGGGGCCATTTCCCGTTTTACCACCATATCCCGCCAGCCTAGTACAAAGCAGATGAGGAATAAACAAATGTTTGTAGAGTTGCTGCGTGTCTTGAGGTCGGGTGAGGGAGGGCCTCCCCGCAGCAGAAAGCCCCAATTTTCTGCACACCCTGTGGAAGGCAGGGCAGAAGGACTTTGACTGCCAGTGATGCTGTGAGCGACCAGCAATCTTTCTTTTCAAAACTTCAAATTGAACAAAAACATTGGTGAGTTAATCAATAAGATATTGGTCCATATACTCTCCTGCCATTTATCAAATGCTGTTTGATGTGTTAAAATCAATGGAGATGTGCCCTTTCAAAAACGTTTATTACATAGTGTTTTGTTTCCAATAAGTGGGTTCACCCATGATTAGAATAACAATGGTGACCTTTCCTTACGCGTGTTGAGCCCTTGGCCAGGCTTGTTCCATTGAACTCTCTTAACAACTTTTCAAGGGAGAAGGTGTCAGTGAATTCCCACTGGTATAAGGATGATGAAGAGGAGGGTCACAGAGCTTAGGTTCCTCCCCAAGGTCACACAGCCAGCAAGAAGATGGTGGGTTTGAACCCAAACACTTTTCTTTCTGAACCATTAGGCCTTTGTTTTTTAATTGAGGAACATAATATTTACCTCTTAAGGCAATGGTGAGCATTAAGTTAGGTGATGTTTGAAAAGAATTGGGCACAGGGATTCTCCAATTGTGGTCCTATTAAAACCACTTGGTAAACCTGCTTTAAACACAGGGGCCAGTGCCCACGCTACTTGAGGGATCCTGGGCCTCTGTGTGCCTTACCAGCTCCCAGGGGATTCTGATACCCACCTAAGTGAGAACCATCAGTGCAGCATCTTATACAGGGTGGGAAAAAGTAGGTTTACAGTTGTGAGTACACAAAACACAGAGTTAATTCTTGCATTATTATTTATTAATTATTGTATTACTTTGCATAGGAACAACTGCAGACCTACTTTGGCCCCACCCTATATCCACAAAAACATGGAGGAGCTAGAAAACAAGCAAGCACAACATTCCCCTGAGGTCCAGGTGTAACGAGAGAGCAGAGGGTGGACAAAGACGTTGGGCCAGAGAAAGCATCATGGTCCCCTCTGTGCCCTATCTTCTGCAGATGCTGCCCCCTGGACTTGGGAGGGCCAGGCCTCAGGAGCTGGCATTCGTAATGCCCATGACCGCATGGCTGCCCTTGTGCCAACAGGGGCCCCGAGGCGGCCACTGGCAGCATGCCTCTGTGTTCGGGCCACTGTGGCTGCCGGTGAGGAGCACCTGGTTCTGCTGCTCTTCTTGACTGTGCAGTTTGCCTGTTTGTGAGTCTGATTGAATGTTTCTCAACCAGAGCCCCCTGAGGCTCCCGGGGCCAGGCAAGTCTGTTCCCCCTGCTGACAGAGGTGAGACCCCCGCAGACGCAGAGCCCCGCCCAGGCCCTGAGTAAATGTCTGGTGCTACCCCGGCCGGGGTAGGAGCCATCAGGTTTGTCTCCACCTGGAGACTCAGAAGGAAGGGGACCTGGAAGTTCCTTCAGCCACCACGCAGCACTGGGCCTTGCTTTAATTTTTATAAAATTGTGATTCTTCACTTTTGCTCTCAGAAGGCAGGTGAGGAGAGCAGGAGGCCACAAACCCTCATTCCTCCCAGAGCTACTGCTCTGGCCCAGGAGGGCCCTCCCCACCCTCTCCCACCCCCTCACCCACACTCAGGAGGAGGTAGGGAGCTGGAAGCGGTCACTCCAGGCCACCTCTTCCCAATGGGGCTGTCCCCGCTTCTCCTCCAAGAACCCCTGGACTGCCTTTGGCAACTTCTTCCCATTGACCTTTCCTTCCACCCCACCTAAGGAGTGCCTGACATTTGCATTTAATAGACCTTGGAAATACTTTCACATCAGCACATATTGTCTACTTCATTCTTATTTATCTCTTCCTATTTCATTGCATTTTGAATGGTAACATATTCACACCGTTTGAAATTCAAGTAGTATGAAAAATTATACAATGAAAAGGCTTGTTCACCTATGCTCAGATCCCATCGCTGCTACTCCCAGACAAGAAACCGTTTGTGTGAACTTGTGTCTTCCAGACTTTCTTGATTGCACTTAAAGTCACATATGAAGGTATTTTCTTCCTCTTGCCTTTTTATCCAAACAGGAACATGTAACAAACTTGGGTGCACATTTTTCTTTTTCCTTCTCTTAGCCAACTTTCCACATCAATATAGAGAGAGCGTTCTCATTTTTTCTGACTGCTAACAAGTACCATCATTAATGTAGCCAGTCCTGAGTGGAAGGCCGTTTGGGTTGTTTACTATTACTTGTAACTACAAGCATGGCTCTTCTGATCTAGCTTGTACATGTGGTTTTGTGCCCATGAGAACATATCGGAGTGGTTTCCACGTAGGTTGTTCAATGTATTAGAGTTCTTGTGTCATCATGTTCTTGGCAACCCTGTGTTTTAGCAAATCGTTTAAAAAAATTGTTCTCATTCAAGTAAGTACATAAAAATGTATTTTTACAGTTTTTAAATGGATTTCTTTTATTATAAGAAGTGAACATATTTTCAAATATTTGTGGACCTTTTTTTCTTTTTCTGTGAGCTGTCTTTTCATATCCTTTGTTCATTTGAAATTGGGTTGTTAGTCATTTTTATTGATTTATAAAGACCTTTCTATACACTAAGGAAATTCATCTGGCCATATAACTGTTATAAATAATTCTCTCAGTTCCTTGTTTGCCTTTGACCTTTTTTGATTACATTTTCCTGCCAAATTTTTCTCAAGACAGTATCTGCAGATAGTATAAGAGTCTAGGAACTACAAGTTATCAAAGAGAAAGCCACAGCCCCAAAAAGGCATCACTTGCTGAAAGTCCATGACACCAAATGTAGATTTAATACCTGATTTGATTGCAGTTTCAACCTCTCTCTGGAATATAATCTTAAACAACCAACCTGGAATTTTCTAGTCAAGCACCAGTCAGGTAAATTGTCACCTGGGCCCAAAGGAGGAAGAGGTGGCTTACATGACAAAACCCTTGCTATTCTCTTCCTCCCAAAAGAAGATGTTCTGGTCTAAAAATAATCGTTTATTTGCTTTTGCTAATACCTTCCCTGTCACATCCTTCTTCCTATAAAAAACTTCCATTTTGTCCAACCCCTAGGAGTGCCCTTCTGGTGGCCACATGGGATGATGTTACCTGATTCATGAATCACTGAATAAAGCCAATTAGATCTTCCCACAAGCAACTGTTTTTTGCCATGTTTAGCTGTTTCACTGGCACTTGCCTCCACATTTCTAAATAAGCGCATATCGCTTTTCTTTATTGTATCAATTTTAGACATTTTCTATTGATTTTTGTCAATGATGTTGAAGATTTAGCGTGCTATACCTCCTTCCCTTCCCTCTCCTCTATTTGCTCTCTCTCTATGTAGATTATCCAATTTTTGGTTAGGTCAATATTTAGTGTTTACATTCTTCAACTATTTAAATATTGTTTATAATTGAGCTGAATAATGTATTGTGATTAGATTTCCATTCCGGTACAGATCTTTCCTGGAGTTAACAATTGCCTCCGTTTGTTTTTTTTGTTGTTCGCTTGCAATTGTTAGTTTTGGTAGGTCAAAACAGTTGAATATTATCAGTTTCATATGTTTCAACTTCAGAGGTTCAGAAGGAGTCACCCCAAGATGTGCCTCTGTGGGATGCAGATTGTTTTGAGTTAGTTTCTCTGAAGGCTCAGGAGAATCTTCCTTTCCCCCTTTAACTACCAGAAGAACCTGAATCAGGAGCATCCACATAGTAAGAGATGATCACAGATAACCTCTGTTGACCTACCGACAGGAAAGACAAATACTAAACTTCTGTTATCACCCTGAAATGACCTTTTGAAGCCCCCAAGGCGCATTACCTCATCCCTAGCTCAGATGTCTTCAATCCCCCTTTCTGTCTCTGAACCTCTGTTGCATGGAGGGTCTCTGACTTTCTCATGTATGTGGGGTTCCCATACATGTGTATGTATTAAATTTGGTTATTTTCTCTTACTAACGTCTCATGTCTATTGGATTGTCAGATCAGCCAGAAGGACCTTAAAGGTAGAGGAAAGTTTCTCCCTCCCCCGCGTATATCTTTTTTTTTTTTTTTCAAACTCTCAATTATAATGTTAAATCACTCTCAATAGAATCAAGCACATGAAGGAAGACATTTGTTTTCTTGAAGATAGCCATAGTCAATTTCCTGGATTGAACAGAGGTGAAAATTCAGGATCTCAGTTCCTTTTGTAGATACACATATAATTGATCCTTTTGCTTTCAGTCTTCCTTGCCTTCTGGGACATTTGTGCTTCTGACTTCTGTGTCCCACAGAGGGTTCTGTGGGTACACTGGATTGTTTTTCATTGGGATACGTCTTTGTGCCACTTGAGTTTCCTTTTCCTACTCTGCTACATCAATTACCACACGTATTCAACCACTTTTCCATTTTTCCCATCACGCAACTGCTCTTCCACTTTCTTCACTTTTGTGGATTTATACCTCTTTTATTCTTTTCTGAAAAATTGTAGACAATTTTGAAATGGACAAAAATATATGAGTGGATGTTCTGGCTAGCCCACCCACTTAGGTTATCTTTGCTTTTGTTGTCTTTGATTAGGCTATTTTCCAACTTCATAGAGATAGAAGTTAACTTGTAGAACTAATTGTAATGCAAATTTCTGGTCCATAGCTACACAATTGATTCCTGATCATGGCAGTATGAATAGGTTTTATCCAGTAG